CGACACCAAGAGTTTGTAAACCCCGTACTTGGATTTCTATCGTATCGTATAACTCCCTTAACTGTTTCAATTACGAAGCTGATTTTACTGCACTTAAATTTAACAAATGGTTAATATGAGATCTTACAATAATTTCTTTTTTCCCGTATCTTTCTTTAAGCAATTCAACTGCTAAACCATAATTATTTTCCGATACCAATAGTCCTTGAATACTAATTAAGGCTGGTCCTTTCAAGAAAGCTTTAAGATAATTATATTTATCTACTTTAGATAAGCGTTCGTTTCTGTGAATCGCATTATCAAACTGTGACCAAAATTCCTGAAACTTCTCTAAATTACCCTCAAACGGTTCTACATGAAGTTTCGGCAAATTTATTCTTGGTTTGTCTGGTTCACTATTCGAAATAAGTGAAGAATTATTCTTCAACGAAAAATATGCCTTATTTCTATCTGAATTCTGAAGATAATTCTTAACTTTCGATTTCGCGTAGATGATACGTTCTCTGTATTCCTGATTATTCTCGACTTCTGTTTCCAGATCAGATACTTCAGGAATTAAATTTTCAATTTCTAGATCTAACTTAAATATCTGATCTGCTTTTTCTTGTAGATTCATATCACATTCTTCTAATGATTTTGTATCTACAATATCCTGTTCCAATAGTTCACATATTCTGTTAATTACTTGTGTTGTTAACCTTCTTAAAGTTTTACGTTTCGTTTTTGCTTTATCTAAAGCTTTCTTTATTCTCATCCATAATATTACCTAATAATATATTCTATACTTCTAAATTCTGTTAGAATTATTCTACAGTTCGCATGCATTCAAATCTTTAAAAACGAAACTTAACCCCTTCTTCGACGTTCTTGGTACGCGAGTCATTCAATGCGTACTTACATCAATCATCCCGCTTCTGAAATGTTAGGTTTAATCTCCGTTATCAATCTCAGGACGGCTAGGGGTAAGTCGGGCTTTCACTTTTCATTCAATCGGGATAACTCTTGCATTTTATAAATGCTTTATTATTACAATAAATATATACATATATTCAGAGGTCAAACAGCAAAAATCAGCGTTATATTTACATCAAACATACACATTAAATCATATAACATATTACATATCATATAACATATTACATATTAAATCAACGTTGACTTCTGAATTAGTATTTATTCGGCGTGTTACTGTGTCTTAATATACATATATACATATCATTACAGAACATTCTTAACATCCATCCTATTCTCTCGCTTCCCGATTCTCGATTGATATCGTGCGCCCCCTATCGGCGGCTTTTCTACAATGCCATCTATCGGCTGATAACAAATGTTTAATTTTTGAGAACTTTTTTTCATTAAAGAAGTATCGATAATGAGAATGAACATAAATCAAATAAAAAGTCTGCAAGAATGATTGAAACAAATGGAATTAAAATATACTGTTACGAAATTTGTACATAGATAGATGATTTCAATACAGTTATATGCGAAATTCTTATATTTTTCTGTGTAATGTTGTTTAAAGTTGTATACCTAGTACAGTCTATTTTAAATACCTTTAAACTAACAATTTTTCATTTGAACGCTTTGTCGATGTTCGAAAGTAGATTTTAAAACTTTATTTATATTACTCGTATTAAGAGTATTAAGTGCTCGAAAACAAGATTAGTTTCGCAATTTCAGTTTCATATCTGCCAACATTTTCGTTTTACTCTGTTAGGGCCCACCAGCGGCCGAGCGGTAAAGTCGCTGAACACTGGTAGTTCGGTCCGAAGTTCGAATTCCGCGAACGGGCTGGCTGCATGTGTTTTCGTGGCTTTCCCCATGTGTAACGTGTATACGAGCCAGTTTCCCTTAGAAAGTCCTCCACGAAGGCATCCCTCCCCTTAGGCAGATAGCCCTAGTGTGCTTTGCCATAATTAAATACACAACACACACAACACTTTTTACTCTGTTTGTGTTAACATTACATTATTTTTAAAAAAGACCTTGATTTTTAAACTTTTCTCTTATAAAAAAACTGTAATTAAAAATATTACTATAGTAAATTTATGAGCCTTTCTATAAATATTCTCTAGAATATTATGGCTGAAATAGAGTAAAATTCATGTACATATTTAAAATTTTTGCAGAAGCTGTTGTAAATAAAAAGGGGGAATTTTCTCGAAAATAGCTAGTGCATGAACTCAAGTATACTCAACAGATATTTTGTTTTCTCGCTTAGAGTTTAGTCCATTTAATTCCTTATGCCTTAATAAATGAAATTGAAAAGAATATTGATCAATATTTTTGTGCGGACATACCTAGTAATCATGGAATTTTAACATATTTTTTTACCCAAACTGCAAGGAAAAAGGAAAATTATATTTTTATAATAACCGTATCAGGTATTTCTATTATTTTAAGTAACATTCTGATAAATGACACAAATAACAGATTTATTTGTACTATTTTTCAAAATTTGGTTCTCGAATGTAGTCAGCTACTTTAAGTAAATTTTCTTTGTATTACGCATTTGACTGCGAATTTATAAAATAATTTTGCAGATTCGTATGAAAGCTTGATGCCAACAAAGAACGCAGCCACTAGTATATCGATTTGAATGTTTACTTTTTGGAATATTGGAATCTTCATTCAAAGATTTCTAATAAAAATTGCAATCAATGCCATATCATTTTTACTGTTTGCAGATAGAGATCTAGAGTGAAGTTAAACACTGAAAGTCATTCATTAAATTCCCAGTTTTAAATTTTGACGTTATCTTACTATTGCATTCTTTTTTCAGTTAAATAATAGAGGCTGCGTTATCAGAGTCTTAGAAAATTTGACATTCCACATACAAGACGCGAGAATTTCAGGGTCGTGAGAGTACAAAAAGTGCGTTTACAAAATTTTAGGTCTAATTTAAAAACTCCTAACCAATCTGCCGATCTACCTGCTAAATCTGCTTCCTTGGCAGCATTTAATATTATGATGTCTCAAATTTCTCTTTCTAAAAACATTGTCTGCTTACGATCAGTATTTTTCATGCATTTAAGCGTTTGCTTTATTCCTGTGAAAATCTGCTACTACGGATTAGAATGCTGAGCAAAGAACATCAATAAATCTTCGCTGATAAGCAAATAAACAGCAAACGTTTTCGAACAACTATCGCTAAATATGAAATTGTGCTTTGAGGTATGAAATGGCGATCCTGAAAAGAAATTAAATTTCGACCTGCTTAGGTCGAAACTTTTTCTGACGGCAATAGAAACTTTGGCTTAAAAATTTCATTAAAAAGAGCATGTTGGTGACCTTTTTTGATTGGAAAGTATTAATACGTTAGGATTTGTTCCTGAATGATGGATGGTAAGCTCCATATTTTAAAATGACGTAATAAACATACTTTTAAAGATAACCCAACGCGCTGGACGTGAAAATGCTCAGTCGAATAATTGGATTTTCAGAGTCCTATCGCATAATGCTATTCCCCTCCAGTCCATAATTTTAAACTGCTACTCTTTTTTAGCAGATTTGTGTCATCCAGACTATTTCTTTCCTCTTTAAATATCTCACCCGTGTTCAAATCTAAGGAAATAGACTAGCTACATGACCGTTTTCATGATTACGTAATAAGTAACGTGAATAAAGAAAATTTTCCTTAAAAGATTTCTTCAAAGGTATCTCTTCTCTTAGGCAGATAGCCTTGTGCGTTGCCATATGGTACGACCAAACTACACTTTTCTTTCTAACATCTCATATTTAACGTTTCATATTTAACATTAATATATAGTGTTATAAGGTATTTCTCCCGCTTTCCTAGCGTGCCTTCATGGTGTAGTGGTTCTGCACGCTGGACGTATTCCAGAAGTGCGTGGTTCGATTCCCGGCGAAGGCGTTTGCTCATTTTTCATCTTGCCTGCTTCCAAATAACCTAATGTCTCTACAGTGACGCCCGAACTAAAAAGGATTGGGAATGATGACTCTCCACACCCAGGATTTGGCGATTGGGTTCCCTAAAATCCCCAGTCGCCCTTTAAAAAAGGGGAGTATATAAGGTATTTCTCCCGCTTTCCTAGCGTACCTTCGTGGTGTAGTGGTTCTGCACACTGGGCTGGTATTCCAGAGGTCCGTGGTTCAATTCCCGGCGAAGACGTTTGCTCATTTTTTCATCTTATTGCTTCAAATAACCTAATGTCTTTAAATTACTAGAAAAAATTAATTAACCCTTTGCGCGTACAGATGCCTTAATTAGTTACCATAAGACATAACAATATGTGAAGGTTTTTAATGAGTCCAGCTAAAGTAATTTAACGGATCGATCCACGCGCTTCGCTCCACAACTGTTCAACGGGCCTAACTAATCACGCCCAATAGTCGGAGCTCAATAGAGCCGACCAACGCAACGATCTACCACATCAATCCAATGGGCTCAAACAAAAAGACAACGAGTCGTACCTCCTCATTAATGTAGCAGAAGCTGGGGGAAGGTATATGGCATCGGTAGAGTTAACAAACATTCGCAAACTTGATTGAATTACTAGAATTTGCAATCGAGGAGCTCTTTTATAACTAGGTAAAGTACTTCACTCCCATGAAACAGGCATAAGTTCTGCCCTCCAAGGCCAACGCAAGATTATCGCATCGCACTTTTAATTCGATTCACAGTTGTCACTATGAGCATCACTAAAACACCAAAGCATTGAGCAACTGCGGGATACAAATCAACAATCGTTTCGCGAGGCTCTATAAGATCTTATGTAGTACACCGCAAGGAAGCATCTTAAAAGCTGGCCTTCTGCTGAGAAATATGCATGTTAACTTAAAGATGTTATGTATCTCGCAGTGGTACATGATAGTCGGATCATGTATCACTGTGAAAACAATTTTGAGACACGCTAAAGACTTTTATGTGTTAAAAATTAATTGCATTTCATATATAAATAATGTTAAAACTAAATATATTTTAGTTTATTATTTTGTGACATTCATTTTTTCTATCAATACTATTCTTGTAGGTTCAAGCACATATACCCCGTTGAGTCGGGAACTTCTAACCACTGTTCCTTTTACCAATTCACCTGCAGTGAAGGATGGCGTGGCCCCACTCCTAAAGATCAGACACGAATTTTTAAGAATTGTACCAATTACCCCTGTCACTGCAACTGATATCCCTACGACTACAACTTCTATCATCAAGCCGGATCGAAATAGTTCGAGGCGCCCAAGGTATAGGGGTAAGTATACTAATAAAGTATGTATTTAAGAGGCTTTCGAGTGAATGACTGAAATTACAGTGTTCAGCGTAATGAATTTATCATAAAACATGTTTCTAAACGAAATTAATAAATGCATAGCACTTAACTTACAGGTTTGCGTATAATTTAGAGTAATATTACACGGTATAAAAAAGAAAAAATTAAAAGGAAGGGTTTAAAAAATAATGTTTTGCGCTTTTTTCAACGAAACAATTAAATATAGAGAAAGGAAATACAGAACGCACATAAATGAATAACACAAAAGAGAAAAATATGCATTCTGAAAACAACAGATTATCTCTTACAGAAAAATTAACTTTCAAAACATTTAAAAGATTAAAAAATGTTAAAAAGCCTTTTATGAATTACGATAACAAGTGTTGTTAAAAATACTTTCAATTTTAATTTTTAACATTATGATTAATTATGAAGTTTTTAAATATGGATGTTCTTCATGAAAAATTGGATACTTTTATTCTTAAATCACGCAGATTTTTAACTCAGTTTCTTAAAAATTTTCAAGCCGTGTCGTTTCTGAAGCTATTAATTACAAATAGCCGTTCCCCTGCGTTCAGTTCATATTAAACACTTTGTGTAATCTTTGTGTATCTTCAGTTCTGCTCTACTCATCTCGAAATAATCAATCGTCTATGCAAATTAATTTAGCAACAGAAAATTTAAGATTTTGGTTTCTCTTTTCTTTCAGGATATGTATGAGAGGGAGTTTGAAATAAATCTTTGGTTATTCGGCATTTAATAAGCAGATTGTAAGATTTAATCCAATTAACACATTATTTTGCTATTTAAATTTAAACTTACTGAATTCCACTACTTTACCAGAATATGCAAATGATAAATTTTAAATTGGAGCGACAATCTAAATTACTGGTAACTGAAATGGTGAAATGTATTCCGGTATTGATTGCCTTGGGCAGTGTTGTTACCAGTTTGTGTCTGATAAAATAACAGATTATTGGGTTTTAAACTTCAACTTGTAAATACTTTGAATCATGGTGAACATCCAACGGAAATTAGCGTAAATTAATTATTTTAATTCTCTACTTCAAGTTGAAATTAAAGTAAATCCATTAGTTGTTTTACATCGCTATATTTAGTTCATGTTTCAATAGTGAAAGGTTTAAAACGGGACGAATATACATCCGGCAATCTAGAAAATTAATGTTTAGGTTAAAGTAAACTGAGATTAAACTTTGTAAGACAGAAATATAACTAAATTCTGCAACTGCTCGTTCGATCACAATGCATTTCAAAGTTATGAATAATGCATACATCTAGGATTAAGATGCAGGGAATTATTGATTTTTTACGAAGAAGCTATTGGAAAATATCCGAACTGTTTGATGAAGGGAAGCGATTAAATATCACCGCTTTTCCTAAAATCAGTAATTAAGCTTGGTTAAAGATTTCCTGCCTGCGCTGTTTAAATGTATTTAAATGTTACAAACAGGGAAAGCTACCTAACGTTTGCTACCGAATCACGGGTGGACCTATGAGTTATACATTCAAATTTTCTACAAACCTAGCTCTATTCATGGTTTCAGATTATCTAACTTTGTAAATCAAACTGAAAGACTTCCTTTCACAGAGATGAGAGATGGAAGAGATCAGGACTCTGTGTAGAAATAAGTAATTCATGTCATTCGAATATAAAAGTTTTGTAAATGAAAAAGCAGCCTCGAAAATTCGAAATGTCGAAAATTTTGAATAAAACTCTATCGATTTCGAGTGCGAACAGACATAAGCTTCTCTTCTTCAAGAATAAGATACAAGTCTGATCCTCTATTCGAAAAGTAGAAATAAAGAAATTTTTAATAGCTAATCGTAGTTGGCAAATTTATTTTAGTTTTGATTTTGGTTCTGCAAAAATTATCCTTAAACACTTTTACGGTTAATGAATTGGATTTTCATGAGGTCTTTTAAATTTGCCAAAAATTATCTGCTTAACAGAATGATATTGATTCCTATCCAGTTCTACAACTCAAAGATATCTTCTTAAAATCGGAAACGAACAAGAGTAAGATACCGTGATTTCACTTCGTTTCTTGACTAACAAATAACAAAGACGAAAGGAAGAAACAATTGTTGTCTAAAATTTTTAAATTATAATCTGAAACCTTTATATGGTAATTAATGCTTAGGTAGTTTGAAAAGAGAAAAAGAAGAAAAAAGTCACTCTGTTTTGTTTTGTAGTTGTTTTCTTTTAAAAAGATTAATATTTACTGATATCAACTAATTAAATTCTTCTTACTGCTGAAAGCATTTAAACTCAACACTAAACTAATTTCAGTTCTAAAAGCTCTTATGTTTATTTCGGCATTTCGGTTTTGTAGGAACATATGCAAAAATGCGGATTACAGTTTGAAGAAGGTTATTAGCAGCTTTAGCAGTTAAAAGCAGTACTTATACAAGGAACTGAAATTTTTAAATTACTCGAAATTTCACGATTACCTTTGAATTTCATTGTACATGCAAACGATACAGTACAAAGGTAGCAACTTTCAGAATTCTGCAAACAGAAACATATCTTATTCATCACATTTTTTTTGCGTAAAATAACACTTGTTAAAAATGTTATTAAGAAGTTAAGATGAAACGAATTCCAAAATGATACATTTTATTACGCTGATCAGAAATACATTTTCGTAATATTAAGGTACAGTAATAATCTTAATCATCATCGATTGGAAAAAGAGTGTTATCATGTTTCTGATCTTTATTTGTAAGAAAAGAATTTCATTGGCAGTTGAAAAGAGAATCATTTCTCGATGTGCTATAAAGATTGAAAATTAGAGATACTGGTTACAAATGAAAGTACCCGATCTACTTAGTCTAAAAATAGACCTTATGATTTGATAAAATTTTGTTTTCATAGGTCTTATGAAATAAAACTCCGTTTGCTGAAAATGCTCTTATTTATAGATATCATGGCGTTGGAGTTGGCAACATTTTTCTGTATCAGCAGAGGAAAACGTTTTAGATATTAATAATAAGTCTTATTTCTAAATATATTCCGATTAACTTGCCTATTTATGTTGAAGGACCCAGTTGTCTTTATAACATGGTTAAATCCTTTAGGTCTTTCCCACGTTTCACTTCAAGCCCCGAGAAAGCATAAAACTGAGACGCCAGTACCTAATCTTGCAACGACAACAGCTATCCCAAAGACCCCTTCCACGACATTTAAGAAACCTAGACAGCAGCAAAGTTTCCATTTCCGAAATTCTGTAAGTTTCCAGACCATGCCGCCAAGCGCCTTCTCCGACAGACGATCCTTGTCAGGAGAAATCACAACGGAAATTTCTGAACTCTCCTCCACCTCGAAGATCAGAATGCCAGAGGAAGTCGAGTATATCTTCAGGTTTGAGCCCACCAGAAAGAGTATGAACAACAAGAACTCCCTTAAAGATATTACTACAGGTAACTGGTATTTAAAGCATTAAGTTATAGCACATTAAATGTATACATATATATGCCGTTTGGTTCAAAATGTTTCAAAGATAATGCTTATAAGGCTGTTTTGTTTTAAATAATATAGTGCTTTTTAGACTCCTCTGTTTCATATGCTCGTCAGCATATTCTGTTTTATATGATAATGTAACACTGTTCTGTTTTAAAGATTATATTTAGTCACTTTCAAAATAACATTCATTCGGACATACACATTTTCTCAAGTGCTAATGAAATTCCTGGAAGCAATTCAAGAATGCCTTATTTAATATCTATCTCTGACTGGGATTCCTATCTTCTTGGATAACTTGAATCTCCTAGAAACATTGACCCCTAGAAACCTTTTGAGAAAAATGTACAGCTAGGTCGCATATTGAGAAATCTCGGAAATAAAGTTATTATGACAAAAATCTGTTTCTTACAGAGAAATCCAAATTTCGTTTTCTTAAAATAACTTTCGCATTAAATTTGACATCGCACCGATTGAACTTTCTTTGCACTACAACACTAACAAATCAGTCCTGCATGATTTTGCTTGTTACTGCTACTTCTATCTGCTAGAAGATAAATATCCAAATAGTAAACAAAAACTAAAGTAAACAAATCCGTTGATTACCGTAACTGAAGAAACAGATTGGTGAACGTCCTGCAAATACAGTGAACACACGGAGCCGAAGTCTCACCTAAAACGTCAACCAGCTAAAAACGAAAATTTTATTTCAAAACATTAGTGGGAAAACAGTCTCAAGGAAGCAAAACCTTCAGGTACACTGCAAAAACCAAAAAAGGACAGTTCCTATATCTCCCGTTCTACTGAGCCGATTGACGAAATTCAGCTTGCGTTTTCATGTCTCGAAAGTGAGACTTAGGATATGTATTAGATTTATTTATAGCATTGTTCTAATACAGGTATTTTGACACAAAATCGGACTTTTTCTGAAATGATACGCCCATTTTTTTTTTCATACTTCGATTTTACGTCTCAAATTAAGTCAAACTGCCAAGTTTTGTAAAACATCGAAGTAGTTTTTAAAAAATTAGCTCTTAAAATTTTAGCTCCTCAATGCTAATTGAGTTTGGTACATATTTATTAATATTCTCTTTTTTAAATAAACTTACTTGATTCCTTTTTCCAGAATTCAAAATTTTGACTTGATCCAAATATAATTCGCTTATTTTTTATGATTTATTTTTAATATTTTATTTTAAAATATTTTTGAAAAATTTTCCGAAAAACATTTTGAGATATATCGTATAAATCTTTTACCATCATCTTAAAGTAGATGTATTTCTAAGCATACAGCAAAACATTAGAATTTTTAATTCAAAATTTCCAAAGATATACGTTAATTTACATATTGATGCCTTTTAAAATTTGGCTTATTCTTTATAAGCGATAATAACGCCAAATGTGATTTACGCACTTTCTCAAAATTGTTTGAAAGTCTGAACGATGACCATTTTTTCGGTCGTTCACAAAGATAAAACGGAAAAGAAAATAGGTTGCTATAAATTAAGAAATTCGTCAAGCCATAAATTAAGAAATTCACAATTCTTGGCGCAAACTGAAAAAAAAAAGATCCAATATAAAATTCTAAATGTTTCAAAAAATTTCTCACCAAAAATTGCAGCATCAAAACATAATCTGAGTCGTAGAATCGAAATATAAAAATTGGTATGTTTTTAGGAAAAAGTCCGATTTTGTGTGAAAATACCTATGTTAGAGCAATGATATATCTAGATCTAATATATATCCTAAGTCGCGCTTTCCAGACATGAAAAACTCAATTTGAATTTCATCAATCGGCCCAGTAGAACCGAAGATATGGAATTGTCCCCCCCCTTTTTTTTAGTCGAAAGGGGCAATTTGCCCAAAAGGACTATTTATTTCGTTTTGGCATTTTACGTTGATTCACTACAAGCGTTGTTTCACTTTTCAAATTGTTGCCACCAAATATTATCGCCCTGTATTATATTTAAAGAAATTAAATAGTGAAGAATCTGCCTAAATGTATGTATGTTTCTCGCATTATAATAAAAAATGGGTACCTAGAGCCATCCAATTTTGAATAACGTAATCCTCCTGCGAATATGGGCATCTGGTAACCCAAAGTGGAAATTTGGAATGTGTTTTGTTATCGAGTTTTTATTTTGTAGAACATTATAACGGATTTTTAATTAAGAAACTCAAAGATTTCAAAGCGAGCAATGGCAAAGCTGTACAGAAAACACATTTTTATCTCCAGTACGCGAGACTGTGTATCGAAAATTCTAAAGATATGCTCATTTTGGAAATTATTTTGCGATATTGCTCTTGAACTGAATTTTATGGTTTAAGAGTGAAAAACATGGTATTTAATAAATAATGGTAACAAAGAAAAATGTTAAAAAAAGTCCCTTTGGACTTAATTTAAAATTTGAAACATACTTAATTTTTTTTCTGTTTGTTTTGCTTTTTTTTCGCAGTGTATATTCCATAAATTAAGCAACTAAAGTATACATAAGTTGTTTATTCATGTGTAAAAACTCTTTCTGTAAATATTTTTATGGAAGATATATATATCGAGCTCAGATATACGCATAGATGGGAAAGAGTTAACCATACTGCTACACATATGGCAACAGAATGCAAAGCAGATATTTATCTGAAAAATCTTCAGAATATAACCACAGAACGTCATATATAAAATTTGTTTTGCATGAAAGAAAGCATTGACCAATAAAATAATTCGCTTATCTATTTACAAGGGCAGTTAGTTAGTTCTATCAAACAGTACCGCAAAAGCATAATGTGGAGACTTTAGAAGCAAAAGATGGCATAATAAGGATATATATACATACATATATATCCTTATTAAAGTTTTTCTTTAAGATTATATATATATATATCGATGTAGTATATAGTTATATATACATATATGTATACACACATACATATATATATACATATATATATACATGTCATAATAAAAGCAAAGGAAAATACGGAACACTGTAGATGCGTGATTAGACCCATATTGAAGAAGATTTTGATTGCGTAGTATGCTAGTAATGCTAACTTGGTAATATCTAAAGAACTTGGCAGTCGAGGCAGTTTTAATTTCATTTTTATTTGCAACTGATATTTGTGGCCACAATCACTTGGCACTCTAGTCGTGCCTTTCCACAGAAGATTTACATTTTTGATATTGTTGAGATAGAAAGCAAGCCAGCGAAATTACATCTTAGCACAGCACAGAGCAAAAGCTGAAGTGCTTAGTTATGAAAGATGGAACCACGCGAAGAGAAAAGTTTTGGTTTACAATTATTACGTCATCAGAGCTGCGCGGGCCATAGAGTGATCTAGAAATGACGCAATGCAGAGAAGTTATTACGATTTTAGAATAGAGAGGAAGAATTAATGTTTATAGTTATATTATAATTCTGATTCATATATTTTTATCTTACATATTCCCCCCTTCAAAAAGAAAAAGGCGTAGCGACAGAAAAGCCTTTTTAAAGAGAAAGAGTTAAAGCACTAGCAAATGTTAAAAAAAAAAAAAAAAAAAAAAAAACCATAAATCATAAAAATTTTTATATTTGTAAAGTATAATTTATAAATATCAATTTTTTTAAATAAATTTTTAATTTTTAAGAGTCCTATTGAATTTTTCAGTATTTCAGTCCAAAAGTCTTTTTGTTTGAGAGTTCACATAATCATAATTATTCAGGGAATGTTCTTTTTATTACAGCATATCACAAAATAAAATTTTACATAATTACTACTTATAAATATTTATGATATTAATTTTCATACTGATAAATTATAATTTAACATCATAAATAATAGGATTAAGATTTTCAGAATTTATGGTTTCACCGTTATCATCTTTCCATTTACAATTCCTGATTTTACGAAACTGGAAGCTTCGCAATACTTCTAAACAAACATATCCATCAAAAGGGCTGTCCTCTTGAGCTAACCAGTGTGTTATGTTCTCTGCACTGGTGGCCCAGAGTGCCTAGGCAGTTACTTGAAAAGGCCTCCGTTCCTTGCATTAAGGTAACTGGCCTTTGAGAACTGCACTAATACATTCCATAATAAAAAATATAATAATAATAATAACATAAAAAATTACACACATAAAATAAGAGCCTCCAACATTATCTTACATGAAGAGGATGAAGGGAACAACTGTGCAGAAGTAATTACAGGCCTCTGCTTTGGAACCCAGTACTCCCTCGACAAACACTATACTTAACACACAATCACCCATAAATTTAACATGCATTTACCATAATTTCATATTACGTTTCTGTAATAATTTCACCTATTTTTTACACCTACTTCATTTTTAGAATAATTATAAAATTCGTATTCAAAATTCTCAACAAAATTTCAAAAACATAAAAACTCATCTTAATATCCTTCCCTATAAATAATTTAAATAACTTAAAATTCGTTACTTTAATTTGCTTACACATAATTATGAAAAATTAGAAAAATTAATGAACAAGAATTTCAGATTTTTGCTCAAAACAAATTGCAGAAATTTTAAACCAAAGTTGAAATGAAAACTATAGAATCCGCAGCACATTAAATAATTTGTCTTGTTCCTGAGCTAGATTCACACGAATGTAATAATTTTTGAGCTGTCGATTGAAAAAGCGGAAGTGCAAATAATTTTCTGTCGCACATACTTGCAAACACTAAACTCAGATCGACGACCTTGAACCCGCTGTAATGCTTAATTCCTAAACGGTAATTCACTGATGATTTCCTTTTTTTATCCTTCTACTAGGCCGAAGCAAATTCGATTCCTTTTTTACTTCTTCACTTTTGGATTTATCGAGAGATTACTTTCAATCTGTAAACATTACGCGTGATTATTTTTTTGAAGCACTTGCAAAACACCACAGCAGAAGAATTATCTGTTATTTTTTAAACACTGAAAAAAACAAACTTGATGATTCACTTCTTTCACATTATC